CGCAATTCCGATCGAGTCTGGGGTCAAGCAGGAATATCGAGCCTCTATGCACCTGTTCGCTTTGGCGGTGGAGCCACTGCTACAATCGCTTCGGAGCCCATGCGCCGCCAACATCAACATGACCTTGGCGCGTGCTGATGGCATCCTCTTTGGTCGGATGAACATTGTCGTGGATTTGGATCCGCTCCTCTCTCCAGTGATGATGCCTCAGCACATCCCCAATCTGAAGCTTGACTTCAAGAAGTTCCAGGTCGTGATTTGTTGTGGCGCTGGTTGCGCTCGTCCGTTTGCTGCGCTGGCGAGCTATGGCGACCCCTTCGGCAGGATCGGGATTGTCCCCACGGGCCGTGTATTTAGGCTTCCCCATCGGCCCTGCTGCGGCTCGGAGGTTTGGCAGCCGATTGTCTCTGGCTTCCTCGGCCGCGTTCTCCAAACTCGCCAACTCAGTCTAGGTGCCGCGCAGAGTGCAGTTGCCTTTCAGGTCACGTGCGTTTCCAAGCTCCTGTTCCGCCCGCAGTTGCACCCGCCCGGCAGCAGCCTGATCCACCAAAATCGTGAAGCGGTCACGAGACTGACCTCGGGGCCCGGCAATGCCATCTCATACAATATCGCCACCCACTTCACATCCTTGGGTTCCGCACTGAGTTCATTGATATCCTGGCGGCCTCTCGGGCTGCGAACATTCTCTACATGCTGAAATCACGCATGCTCCATGGCGTCCAGGAGGATTTGGAGGCGTCTCGGGAGGACCTGGAGCATATTCCATACCGGTGACAATGCTGGCTGGAATAAGGAATTGTTTCTGCCATGCGGGCAAAATGAAGCTTCATCTTGAGCTGTGCCCCGTGGCTCTGGCAGAGGTTTTGTATTGCCCTTCGTGCCCTGCAGCGCTCTGAGCCTGTGTGTGATGCATTCCTTCGCCGCGCCCGCCTCATAAGTCCTTCTGTCTCTGCTCGTCGCATCGCGCCTCTTGGCGTTGTCATTGGGAAATATGTTCCTCTACCTCGATGTGCGTTGGTGTCGTTCCCCAGCGTATGATCGACTGGTTCTATTTGTGCATCGGCGAGATTTCATTCGCCAGCTGCTGGCTGCCCCTGTGAAGCTGAGCCTGGAGTTGACTTTGATTCTCTCCGTCACTATCCGAAATGCCCCAGACTTGAGCAGACGATCGGGAGGTGGATGGGGGATGAGATCCCGGTCGGAAAAGAGAATGTGAGTCACCATTGGTTTGCCTCTTGTCTCCTCCTCCATTTTGACTTTTTCCAGGCCCGTTTAAAGCGCGCCGCCTGCATTGGCGCTTTCATTGTTGCGCTGAGCGCGAGGAGGTTCGCGCGAGGTGCCACGCCCGCCCGGGCTTTTAAAGCGCGGCTCCGAGTCGCGGTCCGTCGTCGCAAGCCGCTGGCCGAGGCCTGGAGCAGCACTCTGTTGCGTGCCCGAACGTTGGCTTGCCCTCGGCCCCCTCCTCTGGAAGCGCCGCCCCCCCGCGATCCTGGCACGCCGCGCGGCAGATGGGAGCCCGGAGCCCCCGACCGTAGGCGCGCCGAGGGTGGGCCACCTGGGACGTCGAGCTGCCCGGCCGGAGGGCCGACCACCGCCTACACAAAACATCACAAGATCGGCGAGTACCGGTTAACAGAATGATGGGTCTTGCATTCCGGCGTGGGAAACCCACCTTAGAGATCGGGCCATCGCCGCACGGCACCCACTCATCACCGCCCGCGCTCCCGAAGGAACCCGTCGGTCGCCGAGGTCAGGAGGAGGTGGGGCACCGAGACCTTCGGCGTGGCGTTTTTGCTTCCGTTCCCAGCGTTTGAGGAAATACTTGCGTTTTAGAAGCGGTCCACAGGCCCGGGGGCACTCGCGTCAACCCAGATGGGCCGCGTCACGGGCTGAAAAGGCTCAACGAGACCCGAAGACGGCTCAATTGCCCGCCAGCGCGTCCCAAGAGAGTTCTCAGAGGACTGTGAGAGAACCCAGGAAGAGGCTCCAAATTGCACCGGATATGGCCCAGAGAACCCCCAAGAGGGCCCCGCAAGGACTCACGCAGAGCCGACATAAAGGAACACACGTGTTCTGATTGGTTTATGGTGTCCGGGCTCATTGTCCCAGAGCGTTGTGTGAGCCTCGAAATGTAGAACACGCGCTCGAAATCGCAGACGCATTCCTGAAAAAAATCGGGGTCGTCAAATTGGTAGGTATTTTTTACGCGAGTGTCTCGGGGGGTATCTGCAGCGTCAACGACATGAAATCCCATATCCAATCAAAGTGTGCATCTTCTTCATGGGCGGGGCTGCTTTGTGCGCGGGGGCCGCGGGACTCGAACGCGTGTTATTTCTTTAGATGCGTCAGAGGTTGACTATGTTCACTGACCGAATCTATGCTCATGTGTTTTGAACATCTTTATGGTGGGACATGGCGGGAGACAGAGCAACAGGTTTGTCAAGTATGGCTCATAGCCAATAACCAGTTATGTGCAGCACAGGATCGTGAAATAAGGCATTTGGCAGTTACACCCATAATCTGTAATATATAGAACGTACATCATACCCCCAGGAATCCACATGATCCAACACATGAGCGAATCAACACATGGCGAATCCATACTTCAAAACCATCCAATGCAGGAATCAATGGATGCACTAGAACAACATTTCATCCTGCAAACAGCCGCATATCAATTTCATTGACAACTCATGCCAGAGAGGAACCCCATCATCAACAACACAGTCATCCGAGCATACTGGCAACTGCTGTTGCTGCTCCGCTGTGATGTTGTGACCTCGCCTTATCGTCGCCTTAGACATATGTCACAGTGTCCAACATGGGCTTCATAATCGATAGCGCCCACATGCCCGGTACAGGATCCCGGTGTGTGTAGTAACCACGTATACACACGGTTACACCATTCCGGTACATTCGTCCTCCTGCTCAGTAGTGGTCAAAGGCTTTGCCCGCAATGCGCATTGACATGAATCATCGACCAACCGCTGCCGATCACAATTACGTATGATGACTGCAAGCCGCTATACCGCGGGCCCTCACTCCTCATTCTGACTCGTAAATCAAGGGGCGAAAAATGTTGGCTGGCTCACGGAATACGTCATCGTGAGCGGCGTTGATTATTTGAGTTTTGTGCCAGCATTTGGGTCGAAATGGTGCCATGGGCTTTGGCTCTCGATCCAGTTTCGATTCATCTGAACCTGACGCTTTGTCCAAGGAGCCCAAGCCCTTCTCCTTCGCCCTGGTCTTCAAAACCCCAGATATCCTTCCTGATTGCATCGCCGATCCCTCGTCTCGAGCTGAGACATGCTAGTGCTAGTAGCCCCCAGCCGCACGGCAAGCTCTTGTCATGGCGGGCGGCGTGCCCACGCCCGCGTAGCGGCCAGACCACCTCGCCCCAAAGCCCGAGCATCCGCAGCTGAAACAGCAGCAACCAGCCAGTGCCTCAGCGTGAGCGCCCCTGGCGGCCATCTCACCGCCCTGAAGCTGGATCCCACAATATCGACCATCGCCCGCCTGAAGCGCCTCGTCCTTGTCGTGCTCAAGGCGCGCATGCGGGAGGGCTTCCCTGCCGACAGCAGCATCGACATCACCGTCGCTGGACAGCGCTGCCAGGATGACACTGCGGTGCTCGAGCGACCCGGCGTTGCGCTGGACGGTGGCAGCAATGTCCACGCCAGTTTCGTGGAGCTTGCGCCAAGGAGATTCTAAGGATCTACGGATGTACAGGATGGCCGACAGGCGCCAAGAGTGTAGCAATAACGAACCAAGTGTGCATATAATGCATGGCGTGATAATGATTAGTAGCATGTCGTGCGCCAGGCTCTCCAAACTTAGTTACACTTCTATGCGTGTTGCTAACGGACGTCGCCGTCGTCCCAAACTTGGCGAGATAACCGCTTATGCGTATTGCGTATGTATTTTCGGGCCGACGCCCTTCATAGTTCTTGGGATAGTTGTTCGAACGTTGCGCCTGACGCAGAACCATGCAGTGGGCAAGTTTCATTTTATGGTAAGGAAGCATCATCAGAAGAACGAGGTAACTCGGGGCAGGTCGTATCCCAGCGACGGCGAAAGCGCGACAGCAGCGGGCCCGAATGGCTCAACATGAGCAGTGTGGTCTCACGCTTGAGTCGTGCCTGCCAGATTGCAGTGATGATAGTGTGCAATCTGCGGGTGGGACGGTGCGAGATGGTCTCACAGTGCAGTTGGGCGTTACCCCGCACTCGCTACGTAATGTTCTCTTGCATTGGAGCTTCTGCTGTCGAGGACCAGCTTGCACAATACTGATCGAGCTACGCAGGCGGTGGTTCCACATGTAGCGGGGTAGTGTTAATTACTATGGCGAGAAAAGCCGTTTTGTTCGTATGCATCGAGTTCGTGTTATCAATGGTGGTCCACATGACAGCGTGAGAACACTAGGAGCATGTCGAAGCGGCAGGCTTCCTCGCCGAACGTTGTGGGTGCGGGTTTCATAGAGGCGGCGTCCTGCTTAGGAAGGGTCTCGATAACATCCAGAGCTATCTTCCTTCAAGGAGGGCTTCGAGGGCGAGCACGGGCTGGTTGGGGGGATGCCGCACAGAGCCCACGAGGGCCAACGTGGCTCCAGGGAATCCCCGCAGGAACCTTACGGGCACAGCGACGTGATATACGAGGAGGAGGAACATCGAGAGGGAAGCCAGAGGTCAAATGAGATTGCGGGAACTCTTGAGGAGGAGGAGAAGGAGGAGGAGGAGGAGGAGGAGGAAGAGGAGGAACAGTGAGATGTGGAGGCCCAGGTGTTTGCAATGCTCTCCCGTGTTTGTACGGGGGTGCAACGACTTGCCGTCTTGGACTCGGATGTGGGATAAGATGTCGTGGCGAAGCGGCAGTGGGCCCGAATCGCCGTGTGTACACGCGTGTACATGTGCACGTCTATCTCCTATGCCGCTGGTGTCTGATGCCTCTCTCGAGGCTGTCCTCCCCTGCCTCGGGGAGGTGTTCCCTCGGCCCGCCGCCAGGCAAGCCGCGAGGCCAGGTGCCAGGAGTTCCAGGAGCAGCTCCGGCTGGACATGCAGGCGCCGTGCCGTGGGCCCTCGGGAGGGCAGAGGTTTGAGGCGTTCCGTTTCTGCTGCTGGTCCGGCTGAGGCGCCTGGGGATATCCCCGTCGTGTTGCTGCTCGAGTTCTCCTCCTCCTCTTCCTCATCCTCGATGGGGACGTTCGCTCCTCCTCATCCTCCTCATCATCTTTCTTCTCCTCCTCCTCCTCCTCCTCGTCATCTTCCTTGTCTTCCTCCTCCTCCTCATCGTGCTTTCTCGTCCTCCTCCTCCTTACCGTCGTGTGCACCCCAAGCAGCTTGTCGCCCCCTGCGTCCGTGCCGCTGCCCGCGGCGATGCCCGAGTGGAGGCACCGACGCCCGCGCGGCCCGCCCTCGGGGCACGCGGCCCCCGCGTGTGCACCCACAGGCCCGTCTGCCCCCCGTCGGTCGTCCCCGGTCTGCCGTCCGTCGTCCTCGCCGCCGCCGTCCACTTCGGCGGTGTCGAGCCAACGAACAAAGAAAATTTCGGCGGCCTGGAGCCCGACGGCGACTTCGAGGCAGGAGCTCGCGCCCGCCGCCCCTGCCACCGAGCCTGGAGCTGGGTGGCCGGCGGCGGGACGCGGCCACGCGGCCTCGGAGGCACGGTCTCCCCGATGACCGATCGGCCGTCCGCCCGTCGGCCGTGCCCTCCCTCCCGCGCACGGAGCTCCCGGCCGCCCTGGGCCAGCCCGGCGGAGTGGCGCGGAGCCGGCACGGGGATGCAGAGGTGCACCTCCGACGCGCCTGCCACCGGAGGAGGCGCCGTGGCCTCCACCCCCGGCGGGCGCGCACGCCAGGGAGCGCCACGATATGGGCGCCAGGCATCGGCTGATGGATCGCTCTCAGCATCCCCCAAAGTGCGGAGGAAGACGACGACGAGGGCACGAGCACAGAGTGGTCACTCTGGTCTCTGCCACTGGGCTCCTCTTCCGCTGGTTAAACATGGCTCTCGTGGGCCCGACCGGGAGTTCCCTCCGCCCTGCCCGCTTGGGATCCGAAATAAGTTGTTATGTTTTTCGGGGTGCATGGCCGTCGCTTCCGAAGAAGGAACACGCATGACACTGGCAACAACAGGGGTCTCGTGACGATTCGACCCAGCTTCAAAGGTCTGCTCTCAGTGGATCTCTATGTGACCGTCCCATGGATCGAGATCCTGGGTACAGGGAGCGACCCACCGTCCTTCCCACCCCGCGCTGGCAGATCAGGGCGTATCCTATCGCAGTTTGTTCGTGCTCTGGGCTGTGCTCCCTTCTCCCCTGTCGTGCCCGTTCACGTCTAGCGCGTTTCATGTGACCTGGTGTGCAACATTACGCTTCATCTGCACTTGCGAAATGTGTCGCGTCTATTGGGGCGCTAAGATGAGATGCCTCCTCGAACATTCATCCCGCCGTTACCCACAGCTCAGTATGCATGCCCCTGTGCTCGTACACGTGCGATTCAAGTAGTTCGTTCCATTTCGCACACGTCCAATTCGCATCCTGTGCGCCGAACAGATGGGACCTGCATTATTCAACCCTGGGTTGCCGCCGTTGGCACCCATGACCCCACGTCTGCGATCCGCTGCGACGTCAGCCAATGGCGTCCCAGCGATGGAGCTCGCGGTGGAGGGCTCGGAGACGATGGTGATATGCCTGATCGACACGCTGGCAGAGAGTGGCACCATCATCATGCAGCGCAACCTGGTGAACGCCAAGACGTGTTGCCGCAAGCTGGTCTATCCTCAAGCGCGGGACGTCGACACCGTGACGTATTGACGACTGTAAATAGACAGATCCAGGGGCCCGCAGTGTGTGCCGAGACGGCGATTGACAACTTGGGCAAGCTGGAGTAATTTGGAAGCCCGACATGGGTACGGAAAAATGGGTACGATGCCCAACAACACATGTTGCCCAGAACCGACAGCGGCCGCTGTTGGACGGGCGGCCTTCTGTACCAAATGGACAACGTCCGCGGCGACACCGACAGCGAGCCCTTTTCAAAATGAGCAGGAAATGCTGTCGGCCCTCGCGCTCTCGCGACCCGGCCACCGCGCGGGCCACCCGATACCTTGGCGGTCACCGCTAAGGCATCATTGTAGTTGCCATTGTAACATGGCGACTGGTCGTTTGTGCACAGTAAAGGACTCCGAGGCCTCTATTGTTCATGGCAGGAAAATTACGCGTAAACCAATGCTAACTTGGCCGATCGTTCAGCGCTCAACCCTTGACAACAGCCCTAAACCATGACAGGCCCCAGTGCTGTCTAAGGCTTGCTTGCCATGGGCTGCCAAGGGTTACCAAGGCTTGACAACGGCTATCAAGGAAGGCTTGCCAAGGGACTTGTCATGCGGTGCCAATGCGGAAAAGTCACGGCAATCAATGAAAACAACATAGACGGAGACATTGAACCATGATACCCAAAAGGCAAGACATCATACATGATGGGCGCGATGAACAATGTGTGACCCATGTGGGTCGGGGTCTGCTGGATTGGCGGCGGGCGAGCCAGCGTCGACGGAAAAAAGGGCTCGGCCGATGTGCCCGCCGCTCTCCTTTCCAGGAGATGCGCGCTGGGATGCTAGCAGCCCGTTGGCGGTCGACTGTTCGTTTGCCGCCCGACAGGAGGCCAGTCGCATGTTTGACCAAACTTTCAATTTCACGCCACCGAGCCCCCAAGATATTTCTGTAGTGCTTTTCTGTCCAGCCGTGGGGAACAGGGGAGGGCGCGCCCCGCGCGAATCCGGCCCAAGTAAGGCAACGCTCTTGTTGGAACAGCAAAGCAGTCAAGAAAATGTAGCATTTCATGTTGATGATGATGGTGATGATGCTGCTGCTGCTGATGATGATCATTATGGTGATGATGGTGATGACAATGATGATGGTGAATAGGGTGAGGCGCGAGGCGTGAACAAGTTGATCCCCGTGCTGACCCAGCGATGTGCCGCCCGTTCCGTCCCCCCCCCGCTTGCAGCCCAGCGTTGGGAGCACCTTGGGTCGCAGGCCTTCTGCTCTGCTCCGTTCTTCTGCGTCGCCCCTTTGACTGGCAGGGCGCCACCCAGACCCCCGACGTAATGTTCTTTGGAATGTATAATATATATATATATATGTATATATATACATACATACATACATACACATATATATATATATATATATATATACTAGCGTGGACCGGTTGATTAAATCCACGAAGTTGGGCGGATCGAAGCATGGTGGCGCGCGCTGGGTGGTGCGACGCTGCCAGCTACTGCCGTAGATCCCTTGAAGCTTGTTCTAGTGCTGTTTCCCCACCGAAGGCGCCCAATGCATCGAAACGGGGGCCGAAGTGTTCGAGCTTCGCAAAAGGCAGAAATTCAGGAGTCCAGGCCCGAGCAACGTTGGAAGATTCGCGCCGGGACCGCGGCGGACACGGGAGCGGGTTCGAGCAAACGCGGCGCCGTCTCGGGCCGCGTCGGAGGCGTCGGAACGGCGTCGCGGCAAAGAGGGAGCGCAGCGGGGCAGCCCCAGGGCCACCGGAGCGTCAAAACAGTTGTTTTTTTGCGCTTGCGAGGGGCCTCTCGCCTCTCGTCCGCCCCCCTCTGTTGGAAGCAATTTTGAAGCTTCTTGGGAGCCGTTTGGGAGATCTATGGGGGCTGTTTTGGGTTCCTCTTGGGCCGGCAGGGCGCCTCGTGGGCCGTCTTGGGGCCGTCTTGGGGCCGTCTTGGGCGCCTATCGGGCCGTCTTGGGGCCATCGTGGGCTGTCCTGAGCCCCTCTTGGGCCTCTCGTGGGGTCCTCTTGGGTCGTCTTGGGCGCCTCTTGGGCCGTCCTGGGCCCGTCTGGAGCCATCTTTGGGCCCTCTTGGGGGCCGTCTTGGGCGATCTTGGAGGCCTATGGGGCTGGTGTGGACGCTTCGAAGACCAATGAGCCGAATCTGCTAAAAATGCTAATTTTCCGAAGGGAATGTGACGATTTTTGCTTGATGGGGCCCGTTCGGGGGACCCCTTGGACCCGCCTGGAGCCGTTCGGGGGCGTCTTTGGGGCTCCTGGAGCCGTCTGGAGAACATCGTGGACCGCCTGAAAGCCGTCTTGGGTCGCCTCGGTGCCTCCATGGGCCGTCTCCGGTGCCGTTTTGGGCCCTTCCGGGGGCCCTCCGGAGCCGTTTTGGGGTTCTTTGAGGGCTCCGGGGGCCGGGGGCCCCCGCAAACCCACCAAGCATCTTTCGGATTGATTTGAATGGATATAGATGTGTGTATATATAACATGTATGTATATGTATATGTATATGTATATGTATATGTATATGTATATGTATATGTATATGTATATGTATATGTATATGTATATGTATATGTATATGTATATGTATATGTATATGTATATGTATATGTATGTATATGTATATGTATATGTATATGTATATGTATATGTATATGTATATGTATATGTATATGTATATGTATATGTATATGTATATGTATATGTATATGTATATGTATATGTATATGTATATGTATATGTATATGTATATGTATATGTATATGTATATGTATATGTATATGTATATGTATATGTTTATGTATATGTATATGTATATGTATATGTATATGTATATGTATATATACGTAGCACCCCGCAATTGCGGATAAGAGTGAGGGGGCGGGCGCGGGCGACGCGGGCGTCGTCGAGCCGGCGGACCTCGTGGCCCCCACCTTCCTTGTCGATGGCGCTCTCCTCCTCCTCCTCCTCTCCTCCTCCTCCTCATCCTCTTCCTCGTCCTCCTCGTCCTCATCGTCATCGTCATCCTCCTCCTCCACCTCGTCCTCCTCCTCTCTCCTCCTCCTCCTCTTCTTCCTCGTCCTCCCTCTCCCCCCCTCGTCCTTCCATCATCGTCCTCCCATTGTCGTCCTCCCCCTCAACGGCCTCCATCATCGTCCTCCCATTGTCGTCCATCATCATCCTCCCCCCCCTCCTCCCCCTCCTCCCCCTTCTCCCCCTCCTCGTCCTCCTCCTCCCCCTCCTCCCCCTCCTCCCCCTCCTCGTCC